GCCTGTAGTTCCAGCTACTTGGAAGGCTGAGGCGGAAGGATCATCGGAGTCCAGCAGGTCAAAGCTGCGGTAACTGGGAGCGTGCCACTGCAATCCAGTCTGGGTGACAGAGTGAGATGCCAACTCAAAAAAGAGAGAGAGAGAGAGAGAAAGATGGAGTCTACTATGTTGCCCAGACTGATCAAAAATTCCTGGCTTCAAGCAATCCTCCTGCTTCAGCCTCTCAAGTACCTAGGAGTACAGGTATCAGCCACCAGCCACTGTGCCCAGTTGCATTCTATCTGACTGAATGTATTTTGTTCATGGCTTATCTCCCTGGATATATTGTAAATATCTTGAAGGCAGGAATCATGTATTTTTTCTTTTGTTCTTTCTTTTTTGAGTCAAAGTCTCACTCTGTCACCTAGGCTGGAGTGCAGTGGGTGGCATGCTCACAACTTATACTTGATTTCCTGGGCTCAGGTGATCCTTCTGCCTAAGCCCCTAGTAGCTAAGACTACAGGTGCACACTACTACACCTGACTAATTTTTAAATTTTATTTATTTATTTTTAATTTTTGATTTTTAATTTTTTATAGAGACATCTCGCTATGTTGCCCAAGCTGGTCTCGAACTCCTGAGCTCAAGCAATCCTCCCATTTTAGTCTCCCAAAGTGCTGGGATTACACTGAGTCCGGCCTTTTCTTTTTTTTCTTTTTTTTTGAGTTGATGCCTCACTCTGTCTCCCAAGATGGAGTGCAGTGGCATGATCATGGCTCACCCCAGCCTGGACCTCCTGGGCTCAGGTGATCTTTCCACTATAGCCTCCCAAGTAGCTGGGATCACAGGCACATGCATCATGCCAAGCTAATATTTTTTTATTTTCTTTTGGTAGAGACAAGGTGTTGCTATATTACCCAGGCTGGTCTTGAATTCCTGGGCTCAAGCAATCTTCCTGTCTTGGCCTCCCAAAGTGCTGGGATTACAGGCATGAGCCACCGCGTCCAGCTTGTATTTTCTTTATAAATGTACTCAAAGTATTACAATAGCTACTAATTATTGACCAGTTGCTACATACCAGCCACTATACACTATATATGTATAAATATGCCAAATGCTATTAAAAGATTAAAAAAAATTTTTTTTTTTTTTTGAGTTGGAGTCTCACTATCGCCCAGACTGGAGTGCAGTGGCCACTTCCGGCCACCGCAGCCTCGACCTGCTGGGCTCTGGCGATCCTTCTGCCTCAGCCTTCCAAGTAGCTGGAACTACAGGCACACACTACCACGCCCAGCTAATTTTTTTATTTATGTAGAGATGAGGTCTCACCAAGTTGCCCAGGTGGGTCTCGAAGCCATGGGCTCAGGCAATCCACTCACCTCAGCCTCCCAAAGGCGCGGGATTACAGACTGAGCCACTGAGCC